TACTTGGGGGTGGCCCACCTGGCAGTGAGTTCGGTCCTCTTGAGGGAAGAAGAAGGAGTCCAAAAGCCAGTTTATTACACAAGCAGGGCCTTAAGAGGACCGGAAACAAGGTACACTCCCTTGGAAAAATGTGTTTTGGCGGTGGTGGTAACTGTCAAGAGGTTAACTCCCTATTTCCAAGCTCACCCAGTGAGAATCATGACGGACCAGCCTTTGGGAGCAGTTTTGAGGGACCCGTCTTCTTCAGGAAGGGTCATTAAGTGGGCCATGGTCCTCTCTCAATATGATATTTCTTACCAGCCCCGTTCTAGCAAGAAAGGCCAGGTCATTGTAGATTTTATGGTGGAGTGCACAGCAAGAGGGAAGCCAGAAGAGGATGGGACCGGTCAGGAGAGAAAAAGGGAATTATGGGAGGTTCATTCAGATGGATCCTGCACTAAAGATGGTTCAGGAGGAGGAGCGGTCCTCACCTCCCCTGAAGGCTTCAAGGCTTATCATTCCTTTAAGTTCACATTTCGGGCCACCAACAACGAAGCAGAATATGAGGCCCTCATTGGAGGAATCCAGATTGCCCTATTCATGAAGATAAAGCACATTCGCCTTAAATCCGATTCAAAAATTGGCCATCGGGCAGCTAAAAGGAGAAATGGAGGCCAAGGAAGGAAGGTTGAAGAAGTCCAGGGACTGCGCCAGGACTCTACTTGGACAATTTGAGTCCTATGAGCTCATATATGTTCCAAGAGAAGAGAATGAAGAGGCGGATATGCTTGCTAAATTATGTAGGACCATTCCCATCCACATGGAGGGTATGGTAAGGCAGCACGAGAGGATCTGTCCTGTTTGGGAAGAGGCGGTCCCTGTCCTTGAGATATCCGGTCCAGGTACAACTTGGATGAGCCCCCTGATCACATACCTTGAAAAGGGAGAGCTCCCTATTGACCCCAAGGAGGCCCGCAGAGTTCAATTAATGGCTCCCAAATATCAAATGGATGAGGAAAAATTGTATAAAAGGACCTTGGGGGGGCCGATGCTCAAGTGCTTGAGTGAGAGAGAAGCGAGAAGAATATTGGAAGAAGTACACCAAGGAGTCTGTTCTGCCCATCAAGGTGCCCTTACTCTAGCCAGAAAGGTGATACTTCAGGGGTTCTATTGGCCCACTTTGAAGAAGGATGCACTGGAGTTGGTGAGGAAGTGCCCAACTTGCCAAGCATTTGCACCAATCCCTGGACGCCCATCCACCTTTTACACCCCTGTCACTACAGCCATCCCTTTTGCTAGATGGGGGTTGGACTTGGTGGGTCCTTTTATCCAAGGGGCTGGAAGGAAGAAATTTGCCATTGTGGCGATAGATTACTTTACCAAGTGGGTCGAAGCAGAGGCCCTTGTGAAGATCACAAAGGAGAACTGGCGTAAGTTCGTGTGGAAAAATTTGTTGTGCAGATTCGGTGTTCCTGAGCAAATCATAACGGACAATGGCACCCAATTTGCCAGCGCAAGTTTCAAGGAATTCTGTTATGCGTGGAAAATTAAACTCAGTCGGGCCGCCGTAGCTTACCCGCAATGCAATGGGCAAGTAGAAAACGCCAACAGGACGATTGTGGACGACATCAAGAAGAGACTGCACGAGTTGGGCATGTCCTGGGTAGAAGAGCTGTCCTATGTGTTATGGGCCCATAGGACTACTCCAAGGAGAGCCACAGGAGAGACTCCCTTTGCCTTGGCTTATGGCTTTGAGGCAAAGGTACCTACCAAGGTCTTGGTCCCTAGCACGAGGGTGGAAGCATACACTCCAAGCCTCAATGAGCAATTGATGGAAGTGGACTCCCATTTCACTCAAGAAAGGAGGGACGACGCGGCAATGAAGGCGGAAGAGTACCAACGGCAATCCAAGAGGTACCACGACAAAAAAGCTGTAGTTCGGACGTTTGAAGTCGGAGATTGGGTCCTACGTAA